AACAAAAGCAGCAGCCAAACAGTAGCAAAATAGTGTTTAAAACAACCCAAAAATCTTAGAGAAGAAAACCCAGAACCAACTCTAATGAAGACTCATACTTTTCTAAAAGTTTGCACTCTAAGATTCACTCCCAAAGCTCACAATTTCAGCTTACTAAAGGGTGCTTCAGCTGCTGATTTTTACTCTCAAAGTTGTGTTTTTAGGGTGTAAAAACTATCCAACAAATGTGTGATCCGGTCCCCTATAATGAAGAAAGGGCAGCCCTTAAATAGCCAAAGAAAAGCCAACTTTTTGGACAGATTTTGGTTCAACAAAAATCTGTCCAAAAGAGGCTAAATTTGTGTGCTAAAGGCTGTCCAAAAGGTGAAAGGACAGCTTGAAATCTGCTATGGCAGGAGCCAAAGGGTCACTTCAGCCACCCTACTAAAAGCAAGCTACTAGTACCCTACAATATATCTAAATTTTAGATTTTAACAACACCAATATCAACCTATTGATTCAAATTAAACCAAGTATTAAAACATGTAATTAAATTTCAACACATGTATTATGAACCAATATGAGCAAACAAAAATTAACTATTAAAGCCAAACGGAACGCACGATATCGCTGAAGCGATTTAACAAAGACAAACATAATCAGAAATGGATTAAAATAAAGAAACAAGACAGAAACTAACTCTAAACTAAAAACCCAAAAAAAAAGAAAAATTAGAAAATTAATAACGGGGCGGGGATTGCGATTTTACCATATACTCGAGCATCCGGGAGACGACGATAGGTAGTGGTACGACTTTCGAGCAAGCTTCTATTGTTGATATTCTTGAAACCAAAAAATTCCGGTGAATCCGAGTCCGGTTTCAATAATATCAACGACACAACCTTGCTCGAGGCCGGTTAGAGAAAAGAAACGGGCGGCAGTGGGCGGCAGTGCTAGGGCAGTGGTGGTGGCGCTAGGGCGGCGTGGGGTTTTTTGATTTTTGAGTCGGAGATATGGAAAGAGGGGGAGAAGAGGAGGCCGGTGGTGTAAAATTTTTGGAGTTTTGGGGTGATGGGCGGCGGCTAGGGTTTCGGTTAGGCTTAGATCTACGGAGATTGGTGGAGATTTGGAGGATATGAGTGGTATAGGTAGAAAGAGGAGGAAGGAGGGGAAGAGATGGTGAAATTTTGGGGTGGATTGGAGGGTTGCCGCCGGCGGCGGCGATTTTCGGCCGGCGGCGACGGGCGGCGGTGGGGCGGCGTGGCAGAGAGGGGGGAGAGAGTGATAAGAGAGAAAAAGAGAAAAGAATTATGGGTGGAAATGGGGAAATTTTTCAGATTTTGGAGGCTTTAAATACCTAGGCCAAGAGTGAATGAGATCCATTGGATCAAGATGGAATGGAGGGGTAAGATTTGATCTTGTTTCATTTAGTGAAACGACGTAGTTTTATTATGAAACTACGTC